TTCATGGCGAATTGTGGTATTTTGCCAAAGCACCACACTCATAGTTCAATATTTTTTCAAGCTTCAAGGTTTTAAGATCACACTCCCCAAATGTGAAAAGAATCAGGTTTCATTTCTGGGAGGAGTTTGATCTTTTACAACTCCAATAAACAACGACAATAGCCAAAAAATGGCAAAAAATCCAGATCTTGAGCGATTAACTGCCGCCTCTTTAGTCTTCAAATATTACTTGAAAACGAGGCTTGGTTAGGGGCGCAAATATACATATGCTACAAATTTGGTGAGGGCAGGCCACGTCATTTGGAAGATATGTGTCTGGCCATATTAAGCCACACCCCTTAGAAGTTCATTGGTCCACATCTTCTCAAATCAATGAGATAAACAACAATAACATGAACAATTTTTGTTTTTATTCAGGTGGACATTGAACCAATAATGATCCACAGAAAATGTCTTGAGAATTGTAAACAGTGTTTAAGAGAAATGGACAAAAACATGTTTTTGACCAGATTCTAAATGGCTGAAAATATCGTTAGGCGCATTTGTTTACCATGGTTGAGTTTTTTATATGTCCAAGAGCACATGTGTGTCAGATTTCAACTCAATCAGGCATCGCAGAAAACACTGAGCTACTGAGGTACTTTTCACATTTCTAGGGGGCGCTATAGAAACATTTCTTTATACCCAGATGTGAGACCTCAAAAATATCACATTTTCACCAGTCCTGATATGCGTGCCGTTCCTCTCCGACTAGACGGACAGTTACAGATACGGGCGAACAACAAGGAACTAAGTGGACACGCCTCATTACTCAGCTCAACTAAAGCAGCTTCAAACAAAGCTCAGTAGACACTACTTTAATTTATGTGACACGGTTTCGCCCCATGTTACTTCTTCTTACGCTCACTGTTTAACTTCCTTTACTTCCTGCGGGCGTCTCTGACAAAGAACGCATGGTCACAGAGTTGAAGCGTGTGCGGTTTGTTAAGGACGTGCTCTTTGTAAGAGGCCTAACGCTGCAGGCGCTTTCCTCTGGTTAATAATAACCAATAATGTGAAATTAAATCGTTGATATCAAAAGAATTATAAATCATCTAAAAGATAATTCACAAAATAAATAAATAACGGGTCACCACACAAAAAGGGACATGTGTTTGTATGATGGAGAAGTTGCATTACAGACGCCACTGTGGATGTTTGCAGATCGGGTTCCACCCTCAACGCTCTCAGTGAGAGACGTGGTTCACCACATGGTTTATAAGTGAAGCCTTATTCCATCTGAAGTAACAGCTCTTTGTCTTCTTTGTCTCCACCAACCCGTCTTCCTTCTTCCATTTCAAAATGAGTCTTTCTGAGCTCTACCTATATATATATATATATATATATATTTATATGTATGTAAGTACGTATATATATATATATATATATGTATATATATGTATGTATACACATGTATATATGTGTGTGTGTTCACTAACAAGTCTAAAACAAGACACCTGCTCAGCCTTTCAGTTCACAGTTCTTCAGTGGTTCACAGTTCTGACAGCAGTGTGTTGCATTTGAACAAAGTGCTGTAAATCCACAGTGTTGTGCAGGTTGTGGAGACGTCATGTGATCAGCGTGTAGAGTTTTGAAAACTGTGTTCAAGCAATGAAAGGATCTAGAGTTCGGTCCTCATGAACTGCTGCTGTGCAGACTGGAGAGGTTTGCACATGTGACTCCAGTTGTGTCCGCTGACGTTTAGCAACTGGAAAAAACTGTAATTTATGCTCCTGTTTATGTGACACGGTTTCGCCCCATTTGACTTCTTCTCACGCTCACTTTTTAACTTCCTTTATTTCCTGCGAGAGTTACATCCCGACCCGCACTCTCCGCTCTGCATGTGATAAACTGCTTGTTCCTCCTCACTGAGAGCAAAACACTCGACTAGATCTCCACTCTTTGCTGTCCTGCTCCTAAATGGTGGAAGGAGGTCTCTGAAGACATCAGGACCACAGAGAGCCTTCACATCTTCAGACTAAAGACACACCTCTTCAGACTCTACCTCCACTAACACACTAACTAACTGTAGCACTTACATTGGACTTATAATGGTTCTTATCTACAGCAAATTGTAAATTGGGTTATTTGAGGAGATTGCACTTTGCACTTGGATAAAAGCGTCAGCTAAATGACAAAGAAAGAAAATCTTACTTTGTATGACGTCACTGAAATGGTTCAAAGTGTAAAGATGAACAGTGAGTATTTTGTGTGCTGGTGTTTGTACTCTCAGTGTGTGAGTGACAGTGTGTGTTCTCACAGTGTTTGCTGCACTGAGCCTGTTTGGAGTCGTGTGTTAAGAGTTGTGTTGCTTGCAGTGAGTTGTGCAGGTGATGTGAGCGGTTGAGCTCAGGTGACTGTTGCTGCTGCAGACTGGAGTCAGAGTTTTGCACATGTGACTCCAGTTGTGTCCGCTGACGTTTAGCAACCGGAAAAAACTGTAAGTGTGTGTTTGTGTAGTTAAACCTCCGTCTGTAAGTTAATCTGAGTAAATGCTAAAAGTAAGAAGAAAAGCCTAAAAGTAAAAAGTAAATCTACAGCTGTGGGGGAACACGCGTAAGCTAGTGAATGCTAAAATAAAAGTACGAAGGAAACACTCGAAGCAGAGAAGTCAGGAGACTGTGGGTGAGTTGGGTCGTCCTCCAATCAGAGGGTTGGCGGTTTGATTCCAGGCTCAGCTAACCCGCATGTCCATGAGTATCTCAAGGGTTTGTATTAGAATACATGTTCAAATATTAAACAAAATACAGTGTGAGATGAAGTTAAAAGGAATAAACTGGACACGCCTCATTATTCAGCTCAACTGAAGCAGCTTCGTCAGAGACGTTAGAGACGTCTTCCTCAAACGAAGCTCACCAGCCACTACTTTACCTTTTATGGTGCTGTTTATCCGACACATCGATTTGTTTACACTCACTGTTTCACTTCCTTTATGGTCACGATGACAGTTCACTCCCCCAATGACATTTGTCTCTGCTCCACTCCATAAATACCCAGAGATGGTTTCCTCCGTCAGTCGCTGTCTGCAGGTGTCTGTGCAGGACGATGAGGATGAAGATGATGATGGCAGTGACGGTGCTGTGGGTGGTGCTCCTCCCGTACGGCGTCTCTGCAGTAAAATTGATGGTAAAGTACAAGCTGGTTTGTTTCACTGTAACATCAGCTGATGGGTCAATGTATTCTAATGATTCCATTTATTCCTGTTAAGTCGCATGCTGGACGTAAGCCGGTCGCTACCCCTCCACCTCCACCTACCCCTCCACTGGACATGGCCCCGAACTCTGTGGACGACATGTATCAAACATGCACCGAACAGATGGAAGAGGAGGCAGCAACATACCTGCAGAATGAGAAGAACAACGACGAATCGTTTAGGAAATCCTGGAAAGAAGCAGAGAAGTACGAAGGCTTTAAGCTTAGCAAAGAACAAGTTATGGCCCTTTATGTTTACACCTCTAGCAAAAATAAAATATATATCCCTTTTAATGAGGCCACTAGAACAGAGAGATTCAAGTACAAGACCGCATTCAACTATCACGCACTTCACTTTTACCTGACCACAGCCGTGCAAAACCTCAGAGCTCTTCAGAACCGGTGCTACAATGTCCGACGCAGGACGAAGACGTACTACTCCGACCAAGACGTCCTCAACAAGAAGGTTCGCTTTGGCTCCTTTGCCTCCTCCTTCATCCTCTCCCCAGGACCCGTAGGACATAAGGGCTTTGGAGAGAAGGCGTGCTTTGAAATTAAAACGTGCATGGGAGCGGACATCTCATGGTTCTCCACCTTTAACCAGAGAGAGGTGCTGATTCCTCCTTACGAGGTCTTTAAGGTAACAAAGATAACAAAGAGATCAGAGCAGCCCGATCTCTGGTGTGATGTGGTCTACAAGCTGAAGAGCACAAAAACAACTAAATCCAATTTGGATTGTGCTCTTATTTAAAAGAAGCGCTGCAAGTTTCCTGCGGTTGACAAATCATGCAACGTCTGAAATTTAGGATGCAATGATTCTCTGCAGATGATCTTTAACCAGAAATGATTGTTATTTAAAATGCATTTGTTACATTTGAATAAATCCACATATTGTGTAAAGAGTGTTTATGGAAGAAAAAATGAATCCATCCAATTTTAATGAAGGATCTAAATTAATATAAAGATGTTTTAACTTGTATGTATCTTCTAATACTTCTCACATCATCAGTGTTTAAATTGGATGCATAATCTGTCCTAAAGAGTCGCTGGCTAGAAAACTGTCAGAAGGAATAAATAAACATCCTGGTGTTTCTGCACGTTTGTCCAATGTTCTTTTCCACATTCAAGCACCTCGGTGTCGTCACCAGCTTTTATTTTGTAGTAAGTGTCTCTGCTAACAGATGTTCTTTAGTTGAGTGGAAGAACTAAACTTTGTTCTACTGAAACAGACAAAGATCCTCTGAGCGAGACTTACATGAGAAGAGAAGATCTCAGCATCATCCATCAGAGAGACTGGAACATCAGCTTCCTGTTTGTGTCAAGAATTTCACAATAAACAACTTGGCCAGAGTTTGGGTTTCAAAATGAGTTTTAAGAATTTCACAATAAAAGCAGCCGAGGAGAGGCTTGATTAAGATGATTGAGGCGTTTCTTCAGACTCAGTGGGAACAGAAGGTCGGTCAGTAGCTGCTGGAGCATCAGCTGATCACAGGTTAGTCACATGACTGTGGGTCAGAAAACTCCATTTTACACACACACACTGTTTGTTTACTTTATTTCTTTGAAAGAAAAAGTTCTGCACATTTCTGTTCTTTTAGAAAGTTGAAAAAAAAGTTTGCCTTGTACAAACATTTAAAAACGAACAAAAATGGCCGTACAGATGAAGTTGGATCCACTCTGCAGAGCGATGAACTCGTTCATTAAATCAGCAACATCCTGGAGATTTAATTCTTTCACCCCAAAGTGAGATTGAAATAAGAAGAACAACCACTTCTTCCCTCTGAGAAGCGACTGTCTCAAAGTTCATCACAACAACAACAGCAGCATTGTGTGTGTTGTTGTATTTCGCCCCATTGAGGACACGAGGGGTCAGAGTTCACGATGAGTCCAGCTGTGTGTGTGTGTGTTATTTGGTGCGCAGCAGCTCCAGCTGGTCCTGGTACTCGGTGAACAGTCTCTGGAACCTCAGGTTCTCCACCATGACGGGTAAGACCTCCCGCAGCAGCTCGCGCTTCCGCAGGCCCTGAACACACAGACGCACGTTAGCACCGCTAGCTAGCGGTTAGCGACACGGCCTAGAGTACATCAGATGCAGGGAGGACGTCCCTTCATGTCCTCAGAGTCTCTGGAGGACCCCAGTGATCCCTTTACAGCTCCTTCAAACCAGACCCACTGCTTCTGCGCTTACCTTTCACAATAAAAGCCCTGTAACTGGCGACCAGAGCGGAACTCAAATGAACTCAGTCAAGCGTTTCACTTGAAGGAGTAAAATGAAGCACAGCGTTCGTGTCCTCTCAGTGTTTAAAATCTAAAGACACGAGAGGTTGTGTGGGAGGAACTAGTTTCTCTACCAGCGTGCTGGGCTCCCACGCCGTGGCGGCTGATTTGTGGACGGGACCCAGCAGCTCCTTGCAGAGTTCTCGGAGACGATTCTCAGAGCCTGGGGGGGGAAACACACACACGTGTTGAAAGCGCTCCTCTACAGCGAGCGTCCTCAGGGAGCGTCTTTGGGGCATACCTTCGCTGACGAGGAAGCGGGCGTAGATGAGCAGCCAGTGACGGTATTCCGCCGCCGACTGCAGCGTCAGAGCCGACGTCAGCTGGTTCTCCAGGAAGGCCAGCGTCATGCTCTGCTGTAGGTGGTGGGGGGTGGAGGAGAGGCGGGACGCCAGCCGCCCGGCGCTGCAGGGACGAGACGTAGAGACACTTAACGGGTCTTATACTTCAACACATCTGATTTGTTGCTCGTGTTGTTTTAATAAAGGTATGACGGCATCGGATCCCTCTGATTGGACCGTGAGATGCCATTAGACCCTCCCCCTCCCTTGTGGTGTCCTACTTGAGGTTGCGTCCCTGCATAACAGCCAGTGGTCCCGAGGACACAGGTGCATCGTGGGTAGGCAGGCAGCTCCTGAAGTCGGCACACTGGACCATGGAGTCTCCTTTGTCTGCTACCAGAGTCCTGAGTGACAAAAGAGGGGGGGTGTAATGGGAAAATGTTATGTGACCCTTTTAAATGCTTCAGAATTTGCAAAACCAACATCTCTCTTCAGATCCAAGATGGCGCCGTTGATGGCCGCGACGGTGCTTCGGTGCGCTTCGTTTTTTGTTGTTTTTGTTGTTAATTATGTTTCCTGCTGCGATTCCCGGAGCTCTTTCACCAGAGAGGAGCTCTTGAACATCCGTGGAACAACTCCAGCGGAGTTACTCCCAACTTTCCTGCTTTCTTCCGTAGAATTACTGGACATTATAGTCAAAGGTGCGCTCACCTTTCGTCACGCGGTGAGACGCCGTGGGAGAGGAAAACGGGCCGGCTCGCTGGTGAGACTCCGCAGGCGGGGTTCTCGCACTCCGCTGCCGGGCATCTTTCTCTCCAACGTGCGCTCACTGTGCAACAAACTGGACGAAATTCAGCTGCTGATGAGGAGAGACAGAGACTTCTCCACATCCTCAGTCTTGTGCTTCACGGAGACGTGGCTCTGCGGATCGATACCGGACTCCGCGCTCCAGCTGGCGGGCTTCCAGCTGCTCCGAGCGGACCGCGACACGGAGCTCTCCGGCAAGACGAAGGGTGGAGGAATCTGCTTCTACTTCAACAACAGCTGGTGCAACGACGTAACGGTGATCCTACAACACTGTTCTCCTGATCTGGAAACTTTTTTCATTCACTGCAAACCCTTTTATTCCCCCCGCGAGTTCGCTTCATTCATCCTGGTCGGTGTTTACATGCCGCCGGCGGGCAACGTGCACGAGGCACAGCGGACACTCGCCGACCAGATACGGCGTGTGGAGCGGACCAACCCGGACTCTTTAGTTATTGTCCTCGGGGACTTTAACAAAGGAAATCTCACCCATGAACTCCCTAAATACAGACAGTTTATTAAATGCCCCACCAGAGAGGAGAACACGCTGGATCACTGTTACACCACAGTCAGCAGGGCTTATCACGCCGTCCCTCGTGCTGCACTGGGACTCTCTGACCACGTCATGGTCCATCTGATTCCTGCATACAGGCAGAAACTAAAGCTCTGCAAACCTGCGGTGAGGGAATTCAAGAAGTGGACCAGTGAGGCGCTGGAGGATCTTCGGGCGTGCTTTGACTGCACAGACTGGGATGGTTTCAGGACTGCTACTGACAGTCTGGATGAGTTCACAGAGGCTGTAACTTCCTACATCGGCTTCTGTGAGGACAGCTGTGTACCATCATGCACCAGGGTGAGTTACAACAACGACAAACCCTGGTTCACAGCGGAATTCAGAACACTTCGCCTGCAGAAGGATCAGGCATTTAGGAGCGGGGACAAAGACTTGTACACAGAGGCAAAATACAAGTTTAGCAAGGCGGTGAGAGACGCTAAACGACTGTACTCTGAGAAACTCCAACAACAGTTCTCAGCAAGTGACTCTGCTTCGGTTTGGAGAGGCCTCAAACACCTCACCAACTACAAGCCAAAAACCCCCCACTCCATGAATGACCTCCGCCTGGCAGACGAGCTGAATGAGTTCTACTGCAGATTTGAAAGACAATGTCCTGTTCCCATCCCCCACAGCTCCACCAACCTGCCGCAGTCTCCCTCCCCCAGCCCATCAGGTGCTCACGCCTCTTCATCATTATCACCTTCCCCTCCCCCACCAGCAACGACCCTCTCTATTCTGGAGAGAGACGTTAACCGGCTCTTTAGAAGACTAAATCCCCGTAAGGCAGCCGGTCCAGACTCCGTTTCCCCTCACTCCCTGAAGCATTGTGCTGACCAGCTGTCTCCGGTGTTCACTGACATCTTCAACACCTCCCTGAAGACATGCCACGTACCAGCCTGCTTCAAGGCCTCCACCATCATCCCTGTCCCCAAGAAGCCCAGGATCACAGGACTCAATGACTACAGGCCCGTCGCCCTGACCTCTGTAGTCATGAAGTCTTTTGAACGGCTAGTCCTGTCCCACCTGAAGTCCCTCACCGACCCCCTCCTGGACCCCCTGCAGTTCGCCTACAGAGCCAACAGGTCTGTGGACGATGCTGTCAACATGGCCCTCCACTACATCCTCCAGCATCTGGACTCCCCAGGAACCTACGCCAGGATCCTGTTTGTGGACTTCAGCTCTGCTTTTAACACTATCATCCCGTCTCTGCTGCAGGACAAACTCTCCCAGCTGCACCGCCCGACTCCACCTGCAAGTGGATCACAGACTTCCTGTCTGACAGGAAGCAGCACGTGAAGCTGGGGAAACATGTCTCAGCCTCTCGGACCATCAGCACCGGTTCCCCCCAAGGCTGCGTTCTTTCCCCTCTGCTCTTCTCCCTGTACACCAACAGCTGCACCTCCAGCCACCAGTCCGTCAAGCTCCTGAAGTTTGCGGATGACACCACGCTCATTGGACTAATCTCTGGTGGGGACGAGTCCGCCTACAGGTGGGAGTCTGACCATCTGGTGTCGTGGTGCAGCCAGAACAACCTGGAGCTCAATGCTCTAAAGACAGTGGAGATGGTTGTGGATTTCCAGCGGAACAGAGCCCCACCCTCCCCCATCACCCTGTGTGACTCCCCCGTCACTATTTTGGATTCCTTCCGTTTCCTGGGCTCCATCATCACCCAGGACCTCAAGTGGGAGCTGAACATCAGCTCCACCACCAAGAAGGCTCAGCAGAGGTTGTTCTTCCTGAGGCAGCTTAAGAAATTCAACCTGCCAAAGACGATGATGGTGCACTTCTACACGGCCATCATGGATTCCATCCTCTGCTCCTCCATCACCGTCTGGTACGCTGCAGCCACAGCCAAGGACAAGGGCAGGCTGCAGCGTGTCCTCCGCTCTGCAGAGAGGGTGATCGGCTGCAATCTGCCATCCCTGCGGGACTTGTTCGCTTCCAGGTCTCTGAAGCGAGCTAAAAAGATCGTGGCCGACCCCTCTCACCCCGACAAAACCTGTTTGTGCCCCTTCCATCTGGCGGGAGGCTGAGGTCCATCAGGACTAAGACCTCCCGCCACACCAACAGTTTCTTCCCGTCGGCAGTCGGGCTCATCAACAGAGCCGGTCCCCCACTGACTGACTATAACACTCCACCGGTCACTCCCCCTCACACTGCACACGTCACTTTAACTGCAATTCATCACTTTGTCGTCATTCGTCACTTTGTCTCTTGTCTGTTACTTGTTCGTTAGTGCACTTTATGCTTAATATTTTTCTTTTTAACTTTTTAATATTTAAAATGTTTAAATGTATTCCCTTGTTTTATACTAACCCATAGCCTTATTCTACTAACCCATTGCATTAGCATTTCATTCTACTTTATTTTATTACTTGTGCACTGTTGTCTTTTCTGTCTACTGTCGCGCACTAACCGCCAAGACAAATTCCTTGTATGTTTGGCATATTTTGGCAAATAAATGTTTCCTGATTCCTGATTCCTGACATATTTGGCAAATGAAACTGTCTGGCGCAAAGTCGAGGTAGCTGTCGTGAAGCCGTGGCAACTGCCTCGACTTCGTGGCAACTGCCTCGTGAAATTGTGGCAACTGCCGCAGTGTCGAGGCACTTGCCACAATTCGCCGCGGCACCGCTGTCGTCACCGTCACCGTTGCCGGCCAAACGCCCGTATCCTTCTGTTTGTGTGTTTGTGTTCATTAAAACACTTTACGTTCCCTTGCGTTTGGGTGGTCGCTTCTTCACAAGCACAACAGATATAGTCAAAAGGAAATAAATATCATTTAAAGAATGTCATTTTTCCTTTTACGTAACATCCATCATGAAGGTACTGTCTGTTGCCTGATCATGAGACAATATAGAATCGCTTAATACTTTAATCCAGCAGCTTTTGTGCGATCACTGGATATCTAAAAACAGTCATGCACACAATCACGCTCAGGCAAATTCTTTTGTCAACAATTGTAGTCAACATTAATTTAAATGAAAATACTGGTAACTCATATTATATACCGACATTCAATTTTAGACACGTCTTGATGGCACCCACCCAGTGTTATTGTTTGTTCATATAATCACATACGCATTGATTAGTTCTCGAAGTAGAGATTGTAACCAGGGCGGCAAGTGATCTTAGTCCATATTCGCTTAGCTGCACTAAAATGGGAAGCCGTTGTATAATTTATTGGCTTTTATTACTAAAATAACTACCAACACTAGTACTTTTAAAGGCAGTATTGTATTGTCACATATTGGCAAAATTATAAACAAACATATCACATATTTG